TCCCGAGAATATTATGCAATTGCAATGCATCACAAGCCCTTAAGCCAATATTTATCCTCAAAATAAAGCCAGAAACTCCTGAGGACGGAGACTGTTTATGTGATCAATTTGCCGCTACAAATTGTAACCAAACCATAAGTTGGCGCCAATACCTAACCCCATAAACTTAGTTTCCTTTTCACGGAAGAATTGACATAATGTAACAACATATTCCTGCGATATTGACACGACTCTGACTGTCAAACGTTCATTCTAAAAGCTCTGCGGGACCTGCGTCGCGGGCTATACGTTTCTGTTAGCATCAAAATTTCTAGTAGAAATCAACGAGTACGTACTGGACTAGAATGCATTCCATTCTTTCGTTCATACCGTCCTCTCCTCATCTCCTGCTTCAAAGCCACAGAATCTAACGGCTTCAACAGCTCGAAGCTGCACAGCAGCTCCTCAGACACCGACATAACTGCACCCCAGTTATCGAATTCGCCGCAATAATTTGGAGCTGAGAAAACTGTGACAAGCGTCCGCTCATTGAAAAACTCATATCCATCTTCTACCACCATATGTGCCCGACATACTAGATCAAACTCGAATTTGGATAAGAATTTGTTGATTGCTGACTTTCCGAAGCAGTAGGATACTCCTCTCTCATTGTCTTCCCATTCATTTGGCGTATCCATAGGGTCGGACCATAAGAGATCGTTAAGCAACCCATAATCTGGGACGTCTGTTGGCCGCACAATATCCCGAATTTCATCCATTGAGTTCAATACCGGTGATAACCCCCCATGAACGCAGAAAATCTTCGACGCAACAATGGATGCAATCGGCAAAGTGTTGAAGCAATCGACGAATGTTTTCCAAACTTTAATACCGCATCTTCGTTTGCATTCGTCGTAGAATCCGTATACTCGGGTCACATTAGCGCATTCGTGATTGCCTCGAAGAAGGAAGAAATTTTCTGGGTATTTGATCTTGTACGCCAGTAATAATAAGATCGTTTCCAGTCCTTGCTTCCCTCGATCAACATAGTCACCCAGGAAAAGATAGTTGGCCGAGGGGGGGAATCCACACATTTCGAATAATCGGATCAAATCGCCATATTGTCCATGGATATCGCCCACAATCTTAACTGGCGGCGAAAGCTCGATTAACGTAGGCTGTGATAAGAAGATTTCTCGGGCGTATCGACATATAACCTGTATCTCTGCATTTTTCAGACACACACTCTTTGTCGCCTTGCCTGAATACCCTACATCGAGCAACCGCTGAATAATCTCATCGATGTCTAGGGAAGGACCCATTTCTGGGCCGACATTCGCTGGTGATCCATGACCCGGACTAGCAGATGCACGCGTTAGATTCATATTGCTCATGGATTCTTCCAATCCAGTTCCAGTTATATCGATCTTATCCTGATTACTATTACTTCGGCGATGCACTTTACCACCTTGAGCAAGTACTGCGTCCGGATTCAAACTTGCTGGATCTTTCGTTGCCGACGACGCACTGCTACTCCTTCCGTGCTGAGCGTGAGATGATGGAGAGTCACCGGATGCATCAAATGATCTTCGAATCAGAATAGGTTCTTTTGGCTCATGCACTTGCATCGATGGTGGCAAATTTGCATTATCAAACCCGGACGGTGAGGGTAATGGTACTGTGTCGCCATTACTGTTGGATGGTAAATATTGTGCAAAAGGTTTTGGATATTGCGTTGAGAGCTGGGGATCCGTGGCAGCTATGTTTGGGCCCGCATCACTCGTTGAGTTGCTGTTAATTTTCGATCGCAGGGATTTGATGGATCGCGCTGAGCCCTGCGTGTCTGTTCGTGAGAACGACGGATATGACTGTAATCCCTCGCCTCCCTTCGCTTTAGAACCGTTGTTTCCCATTGTGCTAGATGACCGTCAGCACATGAATTAGTCGATAATGTCCATTATACTATTCACCAGAAATATTAAAATTGATATATGCTACCTTACAGCTGTTTAAGATCAGCAGGAGAGACTAGCTTGTATTCAAAAACCAAGCCCAATGCGGATGATGAGTTACTGCTGACTGTGCGATGTGAATATGTTCGAAACAGTAAGCTAACACTTTCGATAGATAGTTAGTCACCAATTCCAGCAAGAGAGTTATATCTTTTTGTATAAACTTCTGAGTTTATACATCAAGACCTAATGATTTTCTGCGATGCGATGCGCTGCGACGGAGGTTTGGCAGGAACTTCGGAGAACTGTACTGAACTGAAGAGACGCGGAGTAGTTCATAAACATAAATCATTTAGAAAATACCATTCCAAGCACGCCAAAATTCACATGGCAAAGATTGACTCTAATACCATATTCTTATCGAGCAAAGGCAGTTGCAATTCCGCCATCGCCGCACATCGCCAAAATCACAGGGAAGTTTGATCGCAGCCACATGATATTCACACATCAGGTATAGAGTAAATACTTACATGTAACAAATATCAATGACAAACAAATGAAACGAGAGAGTCGAGAATATAGGAAATGGATCGGTGGGATTGGCAAGGGTAACGAACCGAACGCCCGAGGTATTTTAGTTGAAAGCCGGCCGTGGTAAATGCGACAAATAGGCACTGACACAAGATGCAGTTGCCATATAGATCTATCAGTATTAAAGAGTGCTCGAGAGCTGGCACACTAATAAATGTACTGGTATAGGCGAAGTTCAGGTAGGTCGAAGAGGTGGAGTAGAACGATCATGAGTGCCGCCGCGTCATGCTCTAATTCTACGAAACCCTCGTGTTATGTGTCACATAAAAGCTGGCGGCGGCTGACTCCAACTGGTTCGCCCGCGAAATTTTCTCAAGTAGCGAATATCTGGCAACTCTTAATACTGGCCATGGCAATTTGTGTGCATGCTATGCTAATACTTACTAAAATAGTGGCTTACGTGAAAGGCAAATTTTTTTGTCTGTGTTCTGGTACGCATAAATTTCTACTGTACGGTCGTTATTTTGGTCTGGCAGTTGTATGCAAAATATTTGAATCCGTGCAATGATGAATTCATGAAAACTTATCAACTAGAAGCTGTTACCGACCAATTGATGGGGAGTAATAATGAATCGCTACTCTGATGCTTCACGGAATTATATAGTTGGAAGAGATAACGACTAAGGTAGAAAAGTTTTTGGATTTCAATGCTAACATGATTTCCAGATGATTTTACGGTTACTCGAATGTAGAGGCCAGTCATGGCGGTTTTCATTTGCTATGCAACAGAGAAGTTCATTTCACGAATAGATCTCTTTGCCGTAGCGTATATTGAATCTGTCCAAGCCGATTGTCTCGAGTAGATGTATATGGACAGCGCAACAATGTTATACAAATGTTCCACTGGACTCATGCTGTGTGACTGTAGCTTTATTTCTTAGTCTAGACCGAGTGTAACGTGTTCAACATCCAGACCATGACTAGACATTAAAGTAATAGTCAGAATCTTTTCCCAACTTTCGCTTCAAGCTCTTCCAACCTATGTTCAGCATTCTCCAGAGTCTCCACAGACTGCTCAATGCTAGTAGCACTGAACCATGACAAGAAGGCATTCCAACCAATCGAGACAATATTCACAAACATTAGTCGATAATCCAAAGGAATGATTCTAAAATTCACAAACTGCACTGCCGGCCAGACTGCATAGTTTCCCACCATTGTTCGCCACCATTTTGTCTGCAATTCCTGCTTAATCTGTTCCCAAGAATGCCACTGCAAAACACCCATGCTAACATAGAACGAAGCGATACCAACAGGTGCCCAAACCGTCTGGTCAACCGCCATTCGCGCCAATGCCTCAAGCATTGGACGTCCGGGAATCACAATGCGCGTACTGATTAGTTTGTACCATTGGCTCACCACAGGCGCGAAGACGACACCGCCATGGAAACACATTCGCGCCGTGCGAATGTAGTCATATTTGCCCTTCAATGCTGGATCGGGTGAAAGCGTCTGAGCAACAACATCTCCTGCTCCAAAAAGAAACTAAAGCTGTTAGAAAAGGCGTAAGGCACTGCGAAACTGGAAATCTTTTATACCCCAGTGGTGAGGCAATGAGTCAAGATTGGTGCTGACGACAGTCGTGCATTATACCACTTATAAAATGTTGACATTGCATACGATATGTTTTATGAGACTTTTCCAAAATTCACAGTCAGCTCAGCTGGTCTCTGCTGATCTAGTCAGCCGGGCAAGAGCAGTGAGCAATCGCTTGGTTCAATCCAACCCTATATCTTGTTTGGGGATCACCGCTCGCCTTAGGTAGTATAATTATGCAAAATGATATTCGGCTTTCAAAAGACGAGATTGAATAAGTATATAAAGAAAAACGCAAGGAATGGGGCTCAAGAGGTTCTGCCTCGATGACTGTATCTGGCCGATGATCCTTCCACATCGAAAACGACAACTCAACTCGCCGATAAGGGTTCTCGAAACTCTGCACTGCTGAAATTCAACACTAAGTGCTGAGTCAGCGCCACACGTTAATTGCCCTAGACCCCGGGTTAAATGCCAGTAACCGTTTCGTTGTGGTTTAGGGCTGTAAAGATACGTTGAGCTGGTTGTAAATCAATTTAGTTAGCAGGATTGATTTCCTCATCTGACGCAAATTACATTATCGGGTTGTAAGCTTGACAGAATGCCTACAGCGGCACGCATATTAGAAGAGGTCGCCAGTGTTTCTTTCGAGGTATTATTTAGTTCCTTCGGCATTCGACAACATTCGCAAATCAAGCAGATATCTGCCTGGCAGTCACCATGAACAATTTCAAGCAAGAATAGAATCTAGTTGAGTACAATTAGTCTTAGTCTGTGACAAGCCTCTACACATCTTAATAGTTTATAGCTAGCGTTGATATCAGAAGATCAGCCAAGCCATAAGCGTCGCTTAGCACTCTTCCCAGTCTAAAATAGTGCCAATGCAGAAGAAATAATCATTTGAATTCATTTCTTCCTATCTCAGAGGAAAAAAAAAGATTTTCTCCGGAGCGTGACTCGAACACGCGATTTTCAGGTTTTTTCGGAAATCCATTACAGCCTGACGCCTTACCAGCTTGGCCATCCGGAGTAGTCACAATCACTCGACGAGGGCTCGGAATTAGGTGATGCTGACTTAATCACGTGATGTATGTACCTTTATTTTAAGGACTTGGGGCGCAACTGCGCAATGCAGGGTACTGTGAAGTAATACACAAACAGTGTTGAAATATTGTTGCGTTCATTCTTCACAGCATATGAGTTCCATACTGCGGTCACAAAAAGAACAGCTGCCTCTCCATATGACTATATCATAGAATGTGGCATAACGCGAGGTTGCGAAGCTAGTGATACAATTGATTGCGTTCAAGCTGTATTAATGCGAGAGCACAGAAAGAAAGTATACCTTGTTCGTCAGTCTTTCCTCCCACTCTCGAGCCGCACCAAAAAAATTGCCATTTCACCACCAACCAAGGTTGTACAACTAACATTGGAAGATACAGAGAAGGAGGAGATAAATGGGACATTATGGCCTTAGATAAGATGGATGAGAATCATTTAAACGGCCTTGCTGTTAAAAGGCAAATAGTAGGTACTTTATTTAGTGTAGCTTGTGCCGCAATAGCTGACATCGAAATTTAACAGACTGTATACGAGCGAATTTTGGATGCCAGAATACAGCTACAGAAAGCACTCACAGCGCTAAATGTTATTCTCAGTATTTCTCGGCAGGATTCGTATGCCGGCAGTCGAGATGTGGAAGTGTTAATCCAAGACGCGGAGGAGAAGATTCTGCATTTGTTGGGTCAACTAATTTCTCTTCGAACAGTATGTACTTGAAGGTTTACTCTAGATCTCGCGCAAGTGACTGACAGTATGCTAGAAATTATTACAAGTGAACGACTTATTAGCCCCTACAGCTCCATCACGTAAACGCAACCGCTCAGCAACTGTTTCAGAGCACTATAGTACATGCACATCCTTCAACTCATCTTACACTCCTTACCGTACCGCTGTACTCGAGAAGTGGTCGCGGAAAGTTCAATCCGCCAACGGTATGGGTATCCTTGGAGCGTCCTCTAAGAAGTTCTCGGTGTTGAATCAAAGCGTTTCTAGCCAACTTGAGGATTTGCTGCGAGACACTGACAGATTGGTCGCGAGGACACGAGTTAACAGGACTGCGAATGCCAGAAATATCACGTTAAGTACTACCATACACGAGGACCGCGTAGATGATCCTGCTATGGACAATAGTGGCGAATCGCTTTTATACGACGATACCGATTTTTATCAAATTTTGTTGAAGGACTTGGTGGATAAGAATATAGCTGCTGCCGATTTGGGTGGCGTGAAGTGGACGGTTGCGAAGCCAAAGACAAAGCGGCCGAATTTGGATGTGAAGGCATCCAAAGGACGAAAATTACGATATCATGTACAGGACAAGGTTCAAAATTTCATGCCGCCTATTCCGACCACAACATGGAATGACGAGCAAATTGAGTATGTTTATCTTCCGTAATTTACGTTGCATTATGGATGTACTAACCGTACTTTAGTGATCTATTCAGCGGCTTGTTCGGGCAGAAAGTTATGGATGTATATAAGGACAACGAGGAAGTGTAATTGGCCCACTGTTAGCAATTGCTAAGTTCGTTTAATTTTGCCATTATTTTGGGCTATGACTGCTACACAATGTGAAATGTGTGAAAAAGGAACATATTATTATAAAGTCTTTAGATTTCCCGCAGATAGCGCGATTACCGAAACGCCTTATTCCAGTGACCATCAATGTATAATACAGGATGAATGCTAAATGAATGAAAATACGAATAAGCAAAGAAAAAACAAGGGCTTACTCAACGGTTCCAAAATCCGAAAAACTATATAGGTACATGACAAAACAGATGCAAATAACATTTTATTACATATCCAGATTTCTCTCTCATAATCGTACAAATAACTAAATTATGCTGCAATCTCCCTCACGTTCAGCCATTTTGCAATGATGGATTCTAGGACGTCGCGTTTGACGGGTTTAGCGAGATAATCAGACATACCAGCGTCCAAACATCGCTCGCGGTCTCCTGTCACAGCATTGGCGGTCATTGCGATTACCGGGACATCTCGCACGCTGTCGTGACTATGCTGCCGAAGTCGTCTCGTCGCATCTGTGGAATTTAGTTAAGGCACATTGAATTTCATAGCAGCCTAAGTGAACTTACCATAACCATCCATCAACGGCATTTGACAATCCATCAGCACCAAATCGAAGGGTTGGCCGCATGCTAAGCGACGATCGAGGGCTTCAAGAGCCTCTTGTCCATTACATACGGCCTCCACGCCATATTTAAGCTTCTTGAGGATATTCAGAGCAATTTGTTGATTGATCTGGAGTTCAAGTTAATTTCAATGCTGGACAAACCAGTCCAAGGAGCGACTCACCAAATTGTCTTCTACTACTAAGATCCAAATAGATTTCGGTCCAGGCGCATAGACTGCGATATTGCTCCCGAGCAATTCTGAATCTGAAGATGGCGCTGAAGTCGAGGAAATGGATGATTCCGAGGTCGATGTTCTCGCTGCACCGGGCGGTTTTGCGCCCAGATATGTGTCTAAAGACGGTAATGACTCCCGGGTATCGCTCTCCGGTGCTTCAGGATAAGATACTACTGAAACCGGAGACGGAATGTCAACCAAGTGGGGATATGATGTTGGACCGGAATCCCATGCAACAACTGAGGCCGCTTCGTCGTGACTATATGAACTCTGCTGGGCGTCGGCTGGCGCCTTCACGAACGGAACGGTGAAATGCGCGATAGTGCCCTTGCCATACTCGGATTCGAGCCCAATGCTTCCGTTCATGAGCTCGACTAAATTCTTACTGATAGAGAGGCCCAGTCCTGTGCCACCAAATTGTCTGGCTGTGCTGTTGTCTCCTTGCTCGAACGGCAGGAACAACTTTGACATCACCGGCTTGCTGATGCCGATACCAGTGTCGGAGATCTGAACCTTTACCTCAATGATGCTGTCCGTTTCGTAACCATCTCGCGCTGTCAGCGTGATATGTCCGCTGCTCGTGAATTTGACTGCGTTAGTCAACAAATTCATCGCGATCTGTCTAAATCGTCCCGGGTCACCCATAACCAACGGCATGGGCTTTACCGAAAAGTGGATATCATCAAGTAACCGCAATCCCTTCTTTGCAATCGGGAATGAGAGGATCTTCAAAGTTTCTTTCAGAACACAAGTCACATCAAACGGCACATTGCTAAGCTCCAGCTTGCCGACTTCGATCTTGCTGAAGTCCAACACGTCGGTGATAACAGTCAACAATGCATCGGCGCACAGTCGAATATTATCCGCGAAATTCCGTTGGTGTGGCTGCAATTCCGTGCTGAGCAGTAAATCACTCATACCAATGACTCCAGCAATGGGAGTGCGAATCTCATGAGACATATTCGCCAAGAACTCTGACTTCATTCTCGACGCCTCCTCTTTCAACCGCATTGCATTTAACGCTTCTTCTTGTGCTCGTCGTTGATCATCGATATTAATCAACGCGCCAATCCATTTTGTGATCAAGCCGTCGTCGCTCTTGAGCGCAGTGCATCGACAAACATGCCACCGGTAATTCCCTGCGGCATCGCGGATTCGGACTTCGATTGTCTCGTACGCACCGCACTTCGCATTTATCAGAGCTCTCACAAACACTTCACGGTCATCTTCGTGAAATTGTTGGAGGTACGCGTCGTTAGCAGGACCCGGCGCGCCACTACCACAGAAGATATACCAAAAATTATTCAAGTAATCCAACGGTGGTGTTTTGTCAGCAGGCGCCGACGCCGATGGGGGATCTGCGGTCCAGATAATACACGGCATGGTTTCCAAGGTTGCCACGAAACGTGCCTCTGATTCGCGTGCAGCCCGCAAAGCGGCGTTCTGGCTTTCAATCATCATAGCATTAGCCATTGTCGCCTTGCGGATATTCTTGAACAGCATGGCATTGGTGATCGAAATGCCCATTTGCTGAGAGAGTAACGACAAAACTTCAATATGCCGAGTATTGAACGAATGAGGCGCGCCCTCAAGATATAAGGCCCCGAGAACAATATTCTTGTGCCGGACTGGATGCACAAGAATACTGCGGCCGTCAGGGTGACCTTTTAGCCAGTTCAGACCAGCGCCTAGGAATCTCTCATCGTCAGCTGAGTTCGCCATAACCACGGTCTCGCTTGTATTCAACGCGTACGAAATCGGCTCTGAAAAGATCGTTTTCCCAAGGCTCTCAAGACTCATCCTGGGATATTTGTATGACTCGACGCTATTCACAGTTCCCATGGCCGCAACACGGAACTTCGAATCCTCATGCACGACTACGGCAGCTATCTCCGCACGCGTAGTGTTGATGAAAATCTCAATCATCTTCTTAAGTAGTGTATCGACGTTGATTTCGCTCGAAATAATCTGGCTGCTCCTGATAATCGACGTCAAATCGAGAATATCTAATGTGTTGCTAGTTTCTGACTTGGTTGCGGTGTCATGCATCTCTGTCTCGTAGTCCTCGTCCCATTCGCTCTCGACAAACTGCCCTTCCGGTCTCGTCCGATATCCATCATTTTCTTCCATTAAAACCTGCGGTCGTAATGGCGCCGCGGCTATAACAGCCTGCATATATGATGGTGATTGCAGTCCCACATTAGCGCTACGTGTGCTTTCAATTGCGACGTCCGTCTGCAACTTAGCGGCAACTGTCTGCACGCCAACATTCCTGTACCGTTTATTGTCTGTCACATTAAACACGTTCGGATGCCGACGCGACATTTCCTCGACAACAGCCACGGCACCACAATCCATGAACACCGCGACTGCTTTCTTGAGAAGGTCTTGTCCGATGCTCTTGATACCTCTCCGCATGCACATCTCACCGGCAAGACTGTGCAGAATAGCTCTTTCAAACTTGAAATTGTGTTCCTCGCTGTGCTGCAGAACGTCCTCGTATCTCACCATCGCTTTATCAAAATGGCCCGCAAAATCCTCCAACTGATTGTATAGTTAAAATCAGCAACAATAATGAGACCACAACTACTTTTA